AGATTAAAAATTATCTCTTTATTTATTTTATTTATTTAATTTATTTATTCATTTATAAATAAATAAATAAAGATATTTCATTTTTTATTTATTTCTTTATTTGTTTCTAAATGAATAAATAAAGAGATTTTATTTTTTATTTATTTATTTATTTCTTGATTTGTTTATAAATAAATAAATAAATAAATAAATAAAGAGATTTAATTTATTTATTTATAAATATAAAGAAATAATTTTATTTTGGAAAATAAAATATCACATTTTCTAGAGATTGGGGAAAAGAAAATATTTTTCTAAATGTTTATTTGACTTTAATATTCTTTTTTATGAGTAGGTCTAACGGTGGATTTATTTTCCTTTTTTTGCACGGCAAGATGATGATGATGATGATGAAGATGATGAAAAAAAGAAAGAAACTTTTGCTATGAAAAAGTTTTTCTTTTTTTTTTAGTTTGAAAAAATGAGAAAATGAGAGAAAGAAAAAAAAAAGATTGATAATATCGGGCGATGTTTGTAGCAATTGCGAGCTTTTGCTGTGATTTGGCACCACAGCTGGGTTGCTGGCTAGCTGCTCGTCAGATGCACCTTGTGATGCTGCATGGAGTGATGCGAGTTCCTTTGACGTTCTTTGATACGACTCCCACAGGTCGTATTATCTCCAGATTTGCAAAGGACGTCGATGTACTGGACACCTCGCTTCCCCAACAAATTTCCGATACCATCTATTGTTTCTTCGAGGTAACATTCCCCTCTCCAAGGCTCATGATGATGATGATGATGATGATGATAACAATGATGCGGATCTTGTATAAAAAAAAATATTGCACCTCAGAGGAGATTATGAAAAGAAAAAAAAAGAATCTACTTTTTTTGCTCACTGACGTTTTTATCAAATTGCCATAGTGTCATTTTTATTCGAGATTTGACTCTTAATTTAGTTTCGAATTTATCTGAATTTTCTATTTTATGGAAATTTTCGTTTGAAATCATTTTTATTTTGGTGAATTTACATTTGAGTGGATTTTTATTCATTTAATTTTCCATTTTAGTTGATTTTTCGATTTTTATTTATTCGAATTTCCATTTGACTGGATTTTCTGATTTTTATTTATTAAAATTTCCATTTAAGTGGATTTTTCGATTTTAATTTATTAAAATCTTTTCTCTATTAATTTATTAAAATTTCAAAAATTAAATATAGAAGATAGACATATTTATTGTTGATCAGAGTCAAATTATTGTCAACAAAATTAAATTTATTAAAATTTCCAAAATTAAATTAAACAAAATTAAATTTATTAAAATTTCAAATGTAAAATCGAACAAAAAAATCTAAAAATCTACTCGAATGAAAATTCGAACAATAAAAAACGGACAATCCATTCAAATGGAAATTCAAATAAATTAAAATCGAAAAATCTGGATCTTTGGATTTTTATTTATTCAAATTTCTATTTTAGTGGATTTTTTAATTTTTATTAATCGAATTTACACATTTAAGTGGATTTTTCGATATCAATTTATTCGAATTTCCATTTGAATGGATTTTTCGTTTTTTATTGTTCAAATTTTCATTCGAGTAGATTTTTCAGTTTTTTTTTGTTCGATTTTCCAATTGAAATTTGAATAAATTAAATTTTGTTTAATTTAATTTTGGAAATTTAAATAAATTGAAATTGAAAAATCCAGTCGATTGGAAATTCGATTAATAAAATTTTAAAAATCCACTCAAATGGAAATTTGAATAAATAAAAATTCAAAGATCTAGATTTTTCGATTTTAAGTTATTCGAATTTCCATTTGAGTAGATTTTCCGTTTTTTAACGTTCGAATTTTCATTCGAGTAGATTTTTCGATTTTTTTTTTGTTCGAATTTCTATTTGAAATTTTAATAAATTTAATTTTGTTTATTTTAATTTTTGAAATTTTAATAAATTAATAAAGACAAAATTTTAATAAATTAAAATCGAAAAATTCAGTCAATTGGAAATTCGATTAATTTAAATTTGAATAAATAAAAATCCAAAGATGCAGATTTTTGGATTTTTAATTACTTGAAATTTCAATTAAATAGATCTTTTAATATTTATTAATCGAATTTCCAATTAAATGGATTTTTCAATTTCATTTTATTCTGAATTTTTGCATTTTTTATTTATTCGAATTTCGATTTGAGTTGATTTTCCGATTTTTTTAGTTTGAATTTTCATTCGAGAGAATATTTTGATTTTCTATTTTACTGAATTTTTCGATTTTTATTTACTAGAAAATTTCTATTAGATTTGGATTTTCATTTAAATTCGAATTTCCATTCGTGTGGATTTTTCGATTTTCTTTTGTTAGAATTTCCATTTGATTAGATTTTTCGATTTTTATTTATTAAAATTTCTATTTTACTCGATCTTTGGATTTTTATTGTTTTAAAATTCCAATTAAGTGGAATTTTTAATTTTTATTAATCGAATTTCCAATTAACAGGATTTTTATTTACTCAAATTCTCATTTGAGTGAATTTTTATTTATCAGAATTCCGATTAGACGGATTTTTTATTTGAACAAATTTCTATTTATTGGAATTTCCATTTGTAATTGGATTCCTTTTCGTTTGAGTTTCGATTCGACTGACTTTTAATTTATCCAAATTTTCAATTCATCAAATTTTAATTTATATTTGAATTTCCATTGGACTTGTCTTTTATTCATCAAAATTTCAATTCTACAGAATTTTTATAAGAAATTTCCTCTTCATTTACTTCCTAATTGATCTGGACTTCTACTTAATGGAAATTTTCATTTGAAACAATTTTTATTTCTTCTAATTTCTATTTAAATGAATTTTAATTTATTCTAAATTTTCAATTGACTAGATTTTTCGAAGTTAATTTAGTCAAATTTCCATTTTTACTGGATTTTTCGATTTTTTTTGTTCGAATTTTCAATTGACTGGATTTTTAAATTTTTATTTATTCGAATTTCCATTTGACTGGATTTTTGAATTTTTATTTATTCGAATTTACATTTGAGTGGATTTTCCAACTTTTTTTGTTTGTATTTCCATTTTATTGGATTTTTTATTTATTAAAATTTCTATTTGACTGGATTTTGGTATTTTTATTTATTCGAATTTCAATTCGAGTGGATTTTATTATTATTTTTTTGTTGTTGAAATTTTCAATTTCACTGGATTTTTCTTATTTGAAATTCAAATTAACTGAATTTTCAATTTTTATTTATTCAAATTACCATTTTAAGTGGTTTTTTTTTCGATTTTTATTTATAAAAATTTCCATTTCACTGGATTTAAAAATTTTCGATTATTGAAAACTTTCATTTTAATGAAGTTCTATTTTTTTTAATTTGATCGATTTTTTTTTTATTTCTTTGAATTTCCATTTGATTAAATTTATATTCATAAAAATTTTTATTTACTCAAATTTTAATTTTACGAATTTTTGGTAGATTTTCGTCCAATAAAATAAATGAAATGAAAAGAAAAATTGGTGGCAATTGTGGCAATTTGATTTCGTCATTTTCTTCTTTGAAATATTCCCTCAATTTATATAAATGTATATCTATACTATTATTATCTGTTACTATCTATTTTAGTTAATAATATTTCCTTTTTTCTATTAGATTTGCTACCCCGTATAAATATAGTAGTGTTAGACATTCAAAAAAAAAAATTTTTCTTTTTTTATGCGTAAACTTTCAAAGTGTGGCAGGGAAAGTAGATGAAAAAAAAACTGAATACTTTGGTTGTGATTCTAATAACAAAAACTAATTTAAAATTGACTTCTTATTATAGTATTGTTTAGAAGCGTCCGATATCAATAGTCAGATGTGGAAAGTAAAAAAAAATCTATTCTTCTCCAAAAAATCTATTGTCACTTGAAAAAAAAACTGAGTTTTCGTGTAGAAAATATGGTTGACTGTATAATTGTGTCCTGATTTTAATTCTCAATTTAATCAACACAAGGCAAATAATTTTTTTCCTATACGTATATATGTATATATACTATATGTTTTCTTTGTTAGAAATTTATAATTATACTAAATAATATTAATAATACATTTTTAACGTACATGTTGGTGGGCCAATATAGAAAAAAAAAGATTGTCGTTAAAGAAAAAAGCTTTGGAAGTTTTTTGTAATTTCCGCTTTCGAGAAAGAGAAAAAAAATCCTCAAAAATGCTTAGCATGATTGTTATTTGTTATTTTTTGCTTGTTTTCATGTTTTTAGTTTAGGATTTTTATTTAGTTGTGTTATTATTAATTTTTCTTTGTGTTGCAGTTTTGGAAAAAAAAAGTTTCACATTTAAAAATAAAAAAATGGAATTTTTTTTGACAAGTGAAAATAAAAAATTGAATTCTTTTTGTAAATATTTCTTTATATGAAACTTTTTTCTAAAAAACTGGTTTGTTAATAATGTGAACAAGTTTGGGAACAACTTGTGGTTATGGGAATTATTATAATTGCTTTGCTTTATGTTTTCTTTGTTTATTTATTGTATTGTTAATAAGTCTCTTGCAATTTTATACTTTTGTATATAAAATTTAAGAAAAAGTGTTTAATTTCATTGCAAAATTTAATAATTTTTAATCTTTTCCAGGTCTTATTTTTATTATTTTGTTCTTTTACAGAAAAAGAGAAAAATAATTATTTTAACTGGAAATAATTATTTTCATTTTGCAAATTAATAATTATCTCAATTTCGTAAATTTCTAATTCTTAGATTAATAATTATTAATTATTAATTATTAATAATAATTAGTAAATTAATAATTTATTTAAATTATTTGAATTATTAATTTTTAAAAGTTAATAATTATTTTAATTTTTGTAAATTAATAATTATCAATTTACAGAGAAAGTGGATAATTTTTTGAGATTAACTTTTGCAATGTTCGCGCTTCTCATATTTATTACTGCGGCTTAAATAATAAAAAAATGGAATTATTTTTGTGCCTCGTTTAATATTTGATTTGATTGTTCTTTTAGGTTGTCGCCACTTTGGTGGTGATCAGCTTCAGTACACCTGAATTTGTTAGTGTTATTTTTCCCATGGGATTAATTTATTACTTCGTTCAACGTTTTTACGTTTCCACGTCACGACAATTAAAACGTTTAGAATCTGTTTCCAGATCTCCGATTTATTCTCATTTTGGTGAATCTGTTACTGGTAAGTAGCAGATAATTAAAATAATAGAAAATTATAATTAATTAATTAAATATTCAAATAGAAAAATTTTTTCATTATAATTTGAAAAGAGAAAAGAAAAATTTGTTAATTTGGTCGACAATAATTAACTATTTTCTTCTTCTTTACTTTCAGGTGCGCAAACAATTAGAGCTTATGGTGTACAGGAAAGATTTATCAAGGAATCGGAAATGAGAGTTGATTTTAATCAAGTGTGCTATTTTCCCAGTATTATTGCCAATAGGTAATGATATTTTATATTTTCAATAAATAAACATCAATTTTTAAATGTTTTTAGATTTGAAATTTAAAAAAAATTCAATTTTTAACTAATTTGCTAATTAATTAGATGATTGTTTATTATTTTCAAAAATAATAAAATTCTTCGAAAAAATTCAATTATTTTCAAAAATAATAAAATCCTTCGGAAAAAGTTCAATTATTTTTATAAATAGTAAAATTCATCGTAGGAATTCAATTATTTTTATAAAAAGTAAAATTCTTTGCTATGAATTAAATTTTTATGAATAAAAAAATTATTGTCAGGAATTCAATTATTTTCAATACAATTTTAATCAAATTCTTCGAAACGATCCAATTATTTTTATAAACAGTAAAATTTATGGCTAGAATTTAACTTTTTATAAATCAAAAAAATTCTTCTCAGGAATTCAATTATTTTTAATATAATTTTAATAAAATTTCTCGAAAAATTTCAATTATTTATATTTAAATTTTTCGCAAGAATTCAATTATTATTTCCTAAAATTTTGATAAAATTATTCGAAACAATCCTTTAAGAATTCATTTATTTTTTATATAATTTTAATAAAATTCCTTGAAAGAATTCAATTAAATTCCAAATTTTTAATGAAATTCTTGAAAGAATTCAATTATTTTCAATAATTATGATAAAATTCTTTACAAGCATTCAATTATTTTCAGTAAATTTTGAATTTAAATTCCACGAAAATCGTTAAATTTTCTTCAAAATAATTGAATATGTATTTTTAACAATTTTATTATTTATTTTATTTTATTATCTTCATAAATAATAAATTTCTTTCTTGGAATTAAATTTGTTTTAAAATCAATTTTAATAAACTTTCTGGATCGAATTTAATTATTTTCCAAAATTTTAACGAAATTTGTCCCAAGAATTGAATTTATTTTGAATAATTTATAAAATCTTCGGAGGAATTGAATTATTTTCGAATTTTTTAAATAAATTCTTTGCAAGATTTCAATGATTTTCAATACATTAATTTTAAAATTCAAAACATTTAAAAACAAAAAAAATTCTATTAATTTATTGAAATTTCGTTTTTTTTTTTTAGGTGGTTAGCGATAAGATTAGAAATGGTTGGCAACTTGATTATATTTTTCGCTGCACTTTTTTGCGTCTTAGGAAGAGAAAAGCATCTGGAAGCAGGAATTGCTGGATTATCTCTCAGTTACGCTTTACAAGTAAGATTTATTAAATTATTTCTTATTAAAAATATCGGTAATCCTATGAAAATAAAATTTCTTCGTTTTAAAAATAGTAGAGAAAAGCTGCTAAAATGAGAAGAAAATAATAATAAAAAAAATAGTAAAGTATAAGAGAAATAGCATAAAAATACTAGAACAGTAAAAAAAGAAATAGTAAAAAATTGGTGGAAAAAGAAAGAAATAGTAGGAAAATAGTAAAAATAAAAAAGAAATAGTAGAAAATTAGTAAAATAAAAAAATAGTAAAAAAATAGATAAATAGTAAAATAAAAAGGAAATAGTACCTACAAAAAAAGTAAAATAAAAATGAAATAGTATAAAAATAGTAATATAGTGCAAAAATACTAGAAAAGCGAAAAAAGAAATAGTATAAAAATAGTAAAAAATACTCGAACAATAAAAAATAAATATGAAAAAAAATTAGTAAAATGAAGAATAAATAATCAAAAAAGCTAAAACATCATGCGTTGAAGTTTTTTTTTAAATAAACAAAGAAAGTGATTGCAATGAAACGTGTAAGAAATTTTGGCTCGTGATGTTTTGGTTTGTAGTTGGGAAGTGAACGTATCGTCACAGTTAGAGAATTTCAACGTCTTTATCGAAACTGCGACAAGGTACACTTGTGTTTTTTGTTTGAAAATTGCATTTTTCTCAGAAATAACATTTTTTTTCTTCCTTTGATAAAACTACCGCATGATTTTCAGCAATAACTCGTTTTTAAGACGCTACAATTTGACAACTGAAAAAATCATCATTTTCTTGTTTTAAGAGATCGAAATTTCCAAAAAGAGAAAAAATACGGAAATTTGACTTGCAGGGCTCGAACTAGGTCAAAAAAAGTAATAAAATCCTTCGCAAAAATTTAATTATGTCTCGTCAAAATTTCAATTATCTTTAGAAATAATTAAATTCTTCTTCGAAATTCAATTATTTTTGGAAAAATTTGAATAAAATTCTTGGCAAAATTTCAAAAATTTTCCTCTATTCAATGATTTTTCATTATCTACTACTTGAAATAAAATTTTCCAAAAGAATTTAATTATTTTCAAAAAATAATAACATTCTTCAGAAGAATACAATTATTTTTATAAATAGTACAATTATTTGGAGCAATTCAATTATTTTCAATATAAATATTTTCTAAAGAATTGAATAAATTGACTAAAATTTTTTATAAAATTCTTCGAAACAATTCAATTTGTATTTTTACCAAATTTTATTATTTTTTATTTTATATCATATTCGTAAATAATAAATTTTTTTTGTAATTCAATTATTTTCAATAAAATTGAATTCACGGTAGAATTCAATTTTTTTTCTTAATTCTTTATACAATTTTTCAAAATAATTCAATGATTTTCTAGAATTCTAATAAATCCTTCGAAACAATTCAGTTGTTTTTATAAGTACAGTAAAATTTTCTGCAAAAATTCAATTAGTTTTAATACAATTTTAATAATATTTGATGAAAGAATTCCTTTAAGGAATTTTACTAAAATTTTTAAACATTAATTGAATTTAATCAGGAAATTTTATTAAAATTGTATTAAATGTAATTCAATTTCTCCGGAGAATTTTCAAATTTATGAAAACAAATTTAATTCTTGCGACAAATTTTATTAAAATTTTTGAATAATTGAATTGAATTTCGTTGGAGAAAATTTATTAAAATTTTTTGAAACAAATTGAATTCTAAGGAAGAAAATAATGATTTTATCAATTTGAAATCTTTACTTATAAAATATGAAAAAATTTTTTTTATAGTTTTATTTTTTGGTCCGTAAAGTCAGTTTTTTTAAATGCTTTCACTGGTTCGAGCCCTGGACTTGGAATGTGAAAAAAAATGAATTTAGAACAAAAAAAGGAAAAAATTTGCAATTAATAATATTTTTTTTGTTTTAATTCCAGATTACACAGACATTGAATTGGTTGGTGCGTATGACATCGGACGTTGAGACGAATATTGTTGCTGTTGAGAGAATAAAGGAATATGGCGAGACACCGCAAGAGGCTGCTTGGGAAATTGCTGAACGTGAACCGGCAAAAGAATGGCCGACAAATGGTGGCGTTGAATTTCGTGATTTTAAAGTTCGCTATAGGAAAGGACTCGATTTGGTGCTGCAGGGAATTAGTTTTTCAGTGAATGGTGGCGAGAAAGTTGGCATTGTCGGTCGAACTGGTGCTGGAAAATCATCACTTACACTCGCATTATTCCGAATTATTGAGGCGGCAGATGGGAAAATTTTCATCGATAACGTTGATATTGCATCGCTCGGTCTGCATACACTTCGATCGAGACTGACCATAATTCCTCAGGATCCAGTATTATTTTCTGGCAATTTAAGAATGAATCTTGATCCATTTGGTGTTTATACGGACGATCAAGTGTGGAAAGCACTCGAGCACGCTCATCTCAAAAGTTTTATTAAAGGTTCTATTCAATCTCAAAATTATTATTTTTACATAAAACTTTTACTTATTCTTTTTTAATTTAACCGAAAATTATTATTATCAGTAGCAAATGATACGCGCGCGAAACGTAACGTTCGATTTATTATTATTATGCAAATTACAAAAGTTTTTATTTTTAAATAATTTCATAATCAAAATTTAAAAAATTCATATTCTTGTTTCCTACTTTTTCCTACTTTTTTAATTCAATTATTTTCATAAATACTAAAATTCTTCGTAGGAATTTAATTATTTTTATAAATAATAAAATTCCTCTCATGAATTCCATTATTTTCAATATAATTTTAATTATATTCGTAAATTTGTAAAATAAATAAAATAAAAATTCTTCGCAGAAATTCAATGATTTTAAATACAATTTTCATAAAATTTTTCGAAAGAATTCAATTTATTCTCATGAATAATAAAATTCTCTGGAAGAATTCAATTATTTTTATAAATAGTAAAATTCTTCGCAGGAATTCAATTATTTTCGAAAGAATTTAATTGTTTCCTAAAATTTTGATTAGCTTCAAAATTTCTTCAAAAAAATTCAATTATTTTTATAAATAGTAAAATTCTTTGCAAGTATTCAATTATTTTTATAAATAATAAAATTCTTCTTAAGATTTCAATTATTTTGAATTTAATTTTAATAAAATTCTTCGCAGAAATTCAATTATTTTGAATATAATAAATTTTAATAAATTTTTAATTTATTTTTGCAGGACTACCTAGTGGTTTGATGCACGAAGTTTCGGAGGGTGGCGACAATCTTAGCGTGGGACAACGACAATTAATTTGCTTAGCGCGAGCCTTATTGCGAAAAACTAAAGTACTTATTTTAGATGAAGCCACAGCTGCCGTTGATTTAGAAACAGATGACCTCATACAAAGGACAATCAGAGAGGAATTTAAAGAATGTACCGTTCTTACAATCGCTCACAGGCTTAATACTATTCTTGATTCAGACAGGTAAATTGGCAAAATATTTTTTCAATTAAATCAAAACCATTCCATTGTATTTCTTTGAATTTGTTTTTCTCTATTTTATTCATTTTACTGTATATATTTCATGTTATTTCGATTTCAATTTCTTTTAAACTCTTTAAAGAAAATTGAAATTGAAAATAATTTTCTTTATAAAGAAAAAATTGAAAGGAAGATTGAAAATAATTTTCTTTAAATAAAATTGAAAGGGAAATTGAAAATAATTTTCTTTAAATAAAATTGAAAGGAAAAATGAAAATAATTTTCTTTAAAAAAATTGAAAGGAAAAATGAAAATAATTTTCATTAAAAAAAATTATTATTTTTAAGAAAAATAATTATTAATTCTTCAATTATTTCAATTAAAAGTTTTACAAATTTTCAAATTAAAATTAAAATAGAATAGAATAGATTTAAAATAATTCGTCTATCATTTAAAGTGAATGAAAAATTTTGAGAAATGAAATACAATGGAATGAAATTTTAGTTTCTAAGAAGAAAGAAATTGTTACTAAGGGGAGAAATTTTCTTTTCCATTTCTTAGGGTGATAGTTTTAGATAAGGGTACAATTGTGGAATTTGATTCACCTTCTAATTTACTACAAAGACGAGATAGTTTATTCTACAGTATGGCGAAAGATGCAGGTTTGACAATGTCAAATTAAATAGAAAAGTGAAAGCAGTGTGGCTGTTTAGCATTATTTTTTTCATTACTTATACTTAATTTAATATAAATAATACCTAACTGTATATATGTATAATATACTTTAGGAAAAACCATGAAAATATCAATTTTTGAAATAAAAACGACTGTTCATTGAAAAGAAAAGAGAAAAGGAATTTTAATTCTTTTGAGGAAGATTTCGTTTAGAAACATTTTCTTCTTTTCAGGTTTAAGTGTATAATTAAGATTAAATAGGGGAAATATTAATTAGCATTTTACTTAATAAAAATTCTTAAAAGAGTTTTCTAATTTTTTGCAGCCAGACATTTTTTACTTTTAAAACCGATTTTTCAATCGTAAGAAGTTATTTTTTTGTTTCTATTTTGAAAAGATCTTATTTTTCATTTTAGAATCGTTTCGAAGAATTTTATTATTTTTGAAAATAATTGATTTCTTGTCAAGAACTTTTTTAAAATAATTTTTCTTTTTAAATATTTTCAATTTTAAAATTAAAGTAGGTATTGAAAACCATCGAATTGTGGCAAAGAATTTTATCAATAAATTTTATAATAATAGAATTCCTTCGAAAAATTTTATTATTTAGAAAAAATAATTGAATTATCGGGAAGAAATTTGTTAGAATTTTAGAAAAGAATTGAATTCTTTTAAAATATTTTATAACAAATTAAGAAAAAAATTGAATTCTTTTGTGAAAATTTTTGGAAAATAATTGAATTTTTGCTATGTTTTTATTATTTAAAAAAAGAATTTAATTGCTTCGAAGGATTCATCAAAATTTTTGAATATAATTTAATTCTTTCGTGAAATTGTTTTGAATATAATTGAACTTTTGCAAAGATTTTACTATTCAAAGAAATAATTGGAATTTTTTCGAACAATTTATTAAAATTTTAGAAAATAATTGAATTCTTTCGTAAATTTTATTATAAATTTTAAAAATAATAGACAATCATAATTAATTAGTAAATAATTGACTTTTTTTTAAATTTGAATATAAAATTATTCAAAAATTGAAATCAATATTTGAAAATAAAAAATTTGTTATTTGCATATTTAATAAGTAATTAAATATTGCGTTTCGTTCGTAATATTTTCTAGTTCAAAAATTGAAAGTTGCACGAATTTTTCCCAATTTAATTGAATTTGAAAAAACTATAAATACATTTACAAGTAAATTATTCATTTATTTCAAAAACTAATGGGCAATGCCCTTTTGTACAAATAACTTATATTTATAAAGATGAAGAGAAAAAAATCATATTTATAAACAGAGAGAAACTTTATAAAGTTAAAGAAAAAAAAACAGAATTAAATTCCTAACGAAGGGAAAAATTAATTTGATTAAAGTATATAGTTCATGATTAAAAATCGTATCCACTGAAAATGTAATTTATTGATGAAAAATTAGAACTTGATTAATACGTGAACAAAAGTTTTATACGTGAAATAAATTAAACAAAAAAAAACAAATTAAAAATTCTCCAAGTAAAAACTCAGTGAATTGTTGACAACATCGCAGTTTTGTTGACTTTTTATATATATCAAGAAAAAAGAATTATTTTACAAGCACAATATTTGTTTTTACACATTTCTTGACAATTTTTTTCCAATGTGGAAATTTAATTTTTTATTAACACATAATTATAACTTAACTTATTGTTATATTATTCTTAAATATGGAATTTAATTTCATTTCATGTTTACACAACAAGGTTTAAGTTCATTTTCCTAAGATCCCCCTTGAAAATTTTCTTTTACTTTTATTTATAGAATAAAGAAAAAGAAAAATTCTCTCTGGGAATTAGAAAATAAAATGATCGTCTTTATTTTCATTAATATTACGTATAATTATTTTCAAATCTCATTTTGTTAATATCTCACTAATTTTTTATGCTTTTTTTTGCAGAATTTTCTTTTCGCACATTTTATTTATAAGGATATTTTTATACAAATTTGTCAACATATTTTTTTGAAAGAAATTGCATGTCCATTTCGATTGAAACAAATTGTTTCTAATTGAATTTTTTTTTCTGAATTTCATTTAATTTTATTTTATTTCATTGAATTTCATTTTTTTAAAATAAAAAAAAAATGAGGAAAAATCAAAAAATAATTAAAGATTAATTAAAAAATTTATACAGTGCAAAATAAAACTTGGGTCGTCAAATAATTTTTTGAAGTTTTGGAAAAAAATTCTAAAGTAAATTTGCTTTTTATGCGATTTAAAATAAAAAATTTGTCGATTTAATTTACTTGATTTATTTTCTTTGCCTACTTTGATAATATTTATATATATGTATAATTATAATATATGCTTTTCTTCTTCTTTTTTTATTTTCATATATTCAACTTATTTGATAAATTTAAGTCTTTCTTTTTTCTTTTTGTTTGTTTGTTTTTTTTATTTTTTTTTTTGGTAAAAAGAGTAAAATTTATGGACAATATAAAAAGCAACGTAAAATCTATAAAATACGATAGGGAAATAATGGCATTTGTTTGGAATGTTGACAAAAAAAACTAATGATAAAAATTGCTTAGGAAATTATTGTGCATTATTTTAAAGAGGAAAAATAAAGTAAAGAAAAAGAAAGTTTCAAATTTGCAAAGAATAAATAGCAAAAATTATCTAAGGGCGTAAATGAGGTATTTGAATACTTTCTGAAAATCGTAAAATTTTTGCTTCGAATCTTTTTTTTAGAGTTTTTTATTCCTGTTCTAATTTATTTTCAAAACGAATTTTTTTTTAATTTAAAAAAAAATAAAAACAAGGAAAAATAGACATTTGCTTAGTATTTTATTTCTTTTACTTTTAATTTTCACTGTAATTTCTTTGATTTTCTATTGAACATAATTTTCATTTAGTTCGATTTTTATTTTATTTTCGTATTATTTCTTTCTTTGTTTCTTTCATTTTTTCTTTCCTGCTTTCTTACTATTTTTCTATTCTTCTTTCTTTTTTTCTATTTTATTTCTGTATTCAAACTGTTTTAATCATTTTAATTAATAAAATCTCCACTCGATAGAATTTCTATTTAATTATTCTTATGAAAATAATTTTTATTCAATAAAATTTCTATCTAATCGGATTTTTTTTTCAATTTAGTAGAATTTTTACTTTTATTAATTTTTCATTGAAAATTTGCAGCAAATTTTTTAATTTTTTTAATTAAAACATTTTTTTATTTCATAAAATGTTAATTTAACCAAATTTTTTACCGATTTGGTGGAATTTTTACTGTAATTAATTTTTCATTAAAAGTTTGCAGCAAATTTTTAATTAATTTTTCATTTTTGAAATTTTTTATATCATAAAATTTCTATTTAACCGAATTTTTTTCAATTTGATAGAATTTTTGCTTTAACAAATTTAAGTTTTTATTTAAATAATTTTTTATTACAAGTTTACAATTAATTTTTGAATTCTGAGATTTTTTATTCAATAACATTTTTTATTTTTTCTGTTTTTATTTTCTTATTTATTTTTTTCATTTATTTCTGTTTTTATTTACTTTTTTTATTTATTTATGTTTTTAATTACTTAGTTGTTTTTTTATCTATTTATTTACTGATTTTTTTATTTACTTATTTATTTCTTTATTTTTTTTATTTTCTTTCTTTTCTTTTTTATTTTCTTTCTTTCCTTTTTATTTTCTTTCTTCTTTTATTTCTTCATTTATTTAGTGATTTAGTTGTATAAAAATTTGTCCAAGTAAAAATTTCCTTTCATTAAAAATCCGACTGGATGAAAATTCTGCCGAGTGGAAATAAAAAAAAATACCGAATGAAATAGAAACATTTTCACTGTCATTTTGCTTTTTAATGAATTAAACTCTTTGTAAACTTCGTCACAGGAAATTGACGATTTTCAGAAAATATTCACACACACCATACGGGCATATTTAGAGACTTCTTCATTTCACACCAATATTTATCACTTGAATCGCTTCAATTACGTCGTACTTTCACTTAATTACGCATTGTGCGAACATATATTTTTTTTCTTTCATTTCAATTCAGAATATTTATTCACACGCACACGCCTTGTATTCGTGTTTTATATTTCAAAAGTTTTCACACACGTTTTACTTTGGTACTTTTTTTATGTACTTTTGAAAACATTTTTTTTTGTAAATTCTCCTTTTTAAAAATTAATGAATCTATGAAACAAAATGCTTCATTTAGAAAATAAAAAACTGGGTATTAATCCGTTTTCTTCGCGTTTTCATTCTTCTTCCCCGTCTCCTCGGTTTTTGGTGGTTCAATCGCCTTTTTATCCTTTTTATTTTCATTAGCCATTTCCCCGGAGAATCCAAATTCATTGACACGACTGAGATCAGTTTTGTAGATCCAACGTTGATAGAGATATATACAAAAGACAATATCGTCACGGAAGCAGCCTAACCTATAGAGCGTTGGCATTTTAATGACAAATGCAAAAACATCGTCGATGAATGTATTTAAAAATTTATAGGACAACATTCGCCATGGAAGATGTGCGACACTCTTTAATTTATAATTGATAAATAATTGCGGTGTCATCATAATGAAGCCGAATGTTAATAAAAATCCATAGAGCATACTCAATACCCAAGAGTACCAGCTCTTGTGCTCGAGATACATTAACGAGTAGATTGCATAGCCACCGAGCAATGGATAAAGTGCCCACGATAAATATCTAAAGGCAAGTCTGTCGTATTCTTTTGTCGACGATTCAACGTATGAGCCTTTATCCTGATAGGTTATTCGCGGGAAGATGCCAAATATTTTCGATTCACGATTCACTTTAATATCGACGGTCTTATTGATTTTCCAAATTTCAATGCAAAGACCAATTGCACAACTTATACGGACCACTGTGTTTGTCTCGTTATCGAGAACGTACAGGAGAACAATCACCGATTGGAATACATTGAAGAATACACTGCGCACCGAAAGTCCCTCCAGTGATTTTCGATTGTTCCAAAATTCAATGTCTGTGGAAAAAAATTTATTTTGGTGAATCAAAATTTTATTGAATACAAAATTTAAAAAATATTTTTTTTTGTGAATCAAAAATTTTCTTGAATTAAATTCAATGTCAGTGTTAATAAATATTTTTCTAGGATTTTAGGAATTAGATTTGAAAAACAAAAAGGAAAAGAAGAAAATTTAAAAAATTGGTAGAAAAATTGCAACGTAAGTGGGGAAAAATTACCAGAAAAAAAGAATAAATATTTACCATTTTTGAAAGCGAGAAATTCGAAAATACTGTGAAGAATTGAAACGGCAAATGTCAGAGCCAAAAGATAGGGATTTGTTTCGAGAAGAGCTTCCTTCAACGTGTCCTGATCACTGTCTTCCTCATCGGTATTTCCTGAAAATTAAATTATTATTATTTTTATTATTATTATTAATTAATCGACAGCTGAAAAATTAATTAACCGAGAGAATTATTCCCTGAAAACTTAATTGCCAGATATAATTATTTCCTGGAAAATTAAGTACCCGAGAGAATTATTCCCTGAAAAATTAATTACCCGAGAAAAAATTATTCCCTGAAGAATTAATTAGCAGAGAATAAAAAGCTAGAATAATAAATAAATGGATATTTTTTTTGTCACCTAAAATCGAAGACGTCCATTTATTTCTCATATTCTGAGCGGTGTAGAGTTGCCATTTGAATAATGAGAGAGGCTGATAGGTGAGACGTAATTCGAGTTCTTTTATCGAATCATTTAAAGGATGATAGTCCCTCTGCATATTCCAAAAATCATTGAAATAAACAACTGGCTTGTAATTTAGTCCTCCCATTGTGAATTCGATATCTGCCGGCAAAAAAAAAACAAATTTGTTGAATATTGTCAATATTTTTTAGAATAATAATTAAGTAAAATGAAATGAAAATAATGAGATATTAACAAAATATGGAATAAAAATAATGCGATATTAACAAAATAGAATAAAAATAATTAAAATGGTGCAAAAGAAAATAAAACAGGGTTGTCACAAAAATTTAATTTTTTTCCCTGATTCCCTGACCTGTAGCAACCCTGAAAAGTAAATTTTTCTTTTTTTCCAAACTCACATTCGTTTAAAGGCGGAGGAACTTGTCCAGGTACCCAATTTGTTTGATCGACAACAAAATTAACAGTCGTATTTGGATGCCAATGAGAAAGAATTTCTTGATTCATCAATTCGGCTTTCTGTAAAGAAACAAAATTTCTGTGATTTTTCCAAAGAAAAATATAAATCCAAAGAATCTATTTCTTCAAAATAATAAAAATAATTATTATTATAATAATTTACCTTAATTTCCTCCTCAGTCGCTGTAGTTTCTCCCGTGAGTAAATTATGTGTCTTCTGATATTTAACACGTTTAAATTTATTTAACATTTTCGTTGCATGCGATATCATATCCTTACCGGCGTATTTTCCCTTTCCCGCATTGGGATCAGGTGATTTACCACTTTTCGTCACAAAAACATGAAGATAAATTGAACCATTATTTAATAATTCCTTGGAAGGTGTGAATTTGTGAATGTGAACTCTTGTACCGTCATCATCAGGACCACTCGACCAATCGCCATAAATTAAACGCTTCTCCCTCCAAATGTGTGCGTCCAAATTTGAAAAATCATTGAAATTTGCCAATTCCGATAAATAGACATTCATATCAAATAGTGTTCCATTTTCAAAGAGATTTGATGAACTTAATTTTGGCATTGCACCGGAACTTGAACCTTGTTGTTGTGTTTGTACATCAGTCTGTGGTCGACGGAAGAATGAACTTATGAAATAAATAATAAGCGCACGAATTATCAGCGATTTTGTGATGGCAAAAAATGACTCTGACCATGTCGTTTGTTTTCGTCGTTGTTGCTCTTCATTCTCGACGGCGACCTGTAATTTTTTTTTTTCGATTTATTTTCGAAAGAATTGTAGAATTGTAATTCAAATTTCGAAAAATATTTTTTATCTAATATTACTGTTCTTGTAACTTTATTTTTATTCCAGGGTTCAAACTAGGTCCGTAAATTTGCTTCAAGTTCGTGAAAGTAAGTTTTTTTGAAAAAAGGTCCGTAATTTGATTGAAAAAGGACGAAAAATTCGTAAATTGTATGATAAAATTTGGAAAATTTTAGAAAAATTACAAATCATTGCAGAAATTCAACTATTTTCAAAAGTAATAAAATTCTTCCGTAATTTTTCATTTTTGGTTCGAATTTTTTGAGAAAGAATTAGAACTTTATTTTAAATTCAAGTGATTCAAATTGAGAAATTAAATTAATAGAAAAAACGAAATTGAAAATACTATTTTTAATTTTCGTTAAAAAGAGGAAACGCCTTTTTATGTAATGTAAAATTAATTTTAATTTTCTCCATTTTCTTTTTTAATAGCGAAGAGTTGAACTTTACGAAACTGAATTTATATTTTTTTAGTAAAAAAAATGTAAAGATTCGAAAAAGTGATCAAAATCGATTTTGGAGATAAAAAGAATACTTACATTTCTTTCAGCTTCGTTATTTTCGGCAGGGACAATTTCATTATTAGTGGCTTGATTCTCCTCTTCTTGGGGTGAATTTTCTTCCGTACTTTCGCAATTTTCTTTTTCTTTCGATGACATTTTTGAATTATTATTTTCCTCTTCTTTTTGAGGAAAATAGTTTATAACGTGAAGAAGAGACACGACTAACAAACAGCAAAATCAGGTGAGTTTTCGGATATGACGACACGTATACATTACGTCACAACAAAACAGAGAGAGATATTAACCAGGGTTGGATAGGTGAAGACTAAAAACCTCTTGTATTTCAAAGTTGGCGCCATCGCCAAACTGTGAACGTACCTTTAACCCTTACGGCACTTGTGAAAACGCCTTTAGATTTTTGATTGATAGTTTGTATCTCTATAAACAATTGTATAGTTCATGGCGGCTTAGGCATAAACACTCTGCCGCCATTATTGTAACGCCATAGATTCTATTCAACATTTATATTCCAAGAGAGAGAGACAATAAACAAATTCCTCGCATGTGGTTGAAAATAGATTGAAATAATAGTTGAGAATTATTTTCAAGGATAAATTTAATTATTCGATTTGTGGTGAGTAATTTTTTTTCTCTAGTGAAACCTAAAATAATAATTACTGTTTGGGGTAAATCATTGCAATGCAAGTTCAACAGGGACGTAAGGTCAAGAGGCAAGAGGAGGGACGAAGCTTTCTTGCACTAAATTACTTTTAATTTCCCCCTTTTTTTTCTCATTATCTTGAACAACTTTTTATTTATACGACAAAAAAAAATATTTTAGAAAATACGATTGTTTTTCTTTTTTTTAAATAAAAGTAAATTTACTCCGAGTTTTTTTCACTCGGGAAATTCGTTTATCGTCAAATCCACTGTCAACATCAATATACACACAAGTGTCCAATTTTTTTTTATATAAAAATATATATTGTCAGTTGTTATATTGAAAATATTGCTTCTTTTTTGTATTTTGGTCATTTTTTTTTATTAAAATCGAAAGGAATTTTTTTTTCTAGAACTTGGTATTTACGTTTATTAATTGTAAAAGTTTATTTTGTTACAGAATCTGTTTCAACCGATTTTCACTGCCTAAGGAGAAGACAAAATGTATTTTAAATGTTAAGACAATTGTGATGATGATTTCTTAAAAAAATTGGTGTAGAGTTTTTATAAGTAAGTATTAAAATTGTTAATTCTTTGCTAGATGGTAAAATTTTTAATTTAATTAAAAATTAATATCTAATATTTAAAATATAATATATCCATTTTGAATATTTACTTTTTATAAAATTTAATTTGACTGTTAAAAATTAATTTGGAAGAATTCAATTATTTTTAAATTAATTGAAACCATTGGAGAAGTTTTATTAAAAATGCATTGAAAATAATTGAATTCCCTTGAAAAATTTTATTAATTTATAAAAATAATTTTATTCTTGACAAGAATTCAAAATAATTGAATTCTTCTGTTGGATTTTATCGTTTTATGAAAATAATTGAACTTTTTCAAGAATTTTATTAAAATTTTCGAACATAATTGAATTCTTTCTGGGAATTTTATTAAAAGTGTATAAAAAAATAATTGAATTCTTTCAAAGCATTTTATTAAAATGGTATTTAAAATAATTGAATTCTCATAAGAAATTTAACAAAATTTAATAAAATATTTGAATTCATTCAAAGAAATTTATTAAAACTTTGAAAAATTAACATTTTTGAAAATAGTGGAGTTTTATTAATAATTGTTATTAAAAAATTTTTTAAATAATGGAATTTTATGAAGAATTTCTTCTTAAAATAATCGTGTTTATTAATTAATAATTTTATTAACACTATCGATAGAAATTTAAATTATTTTAAACAATTTTATTTGACAATTTAAATTTTGTTCAAGAATTTCTTTAAATTTCTTAAAAATAATGTTTTTCTAAAAATTTTAATTGAAAATTTTGTAATTGAAATTTACAAGAGAATTTATTAAAAACTTTTTATTATAATTGAATTTTTTTAGAAATATTTTATTATAATTTTGTAATTGAAATATACAAAGAATTTTATCTAAACTTTTGATTATAATTGAATTTTTTAGAAATATTTTATTCAAGTTTAGAATTTAAGAATTTTTATATATTAAAAATCATTGAATTTTTGTCGAAAAATTTGAAAATAATTGTATTCCTTTGAAGTATTTTATCAAAATTGTTAAAAATAATTGAATTCTTTAGAGAAATTTTATTAAAGTTGTATTGAAAAGAATTGAATTTGCAAAGAATTTTATTTCAAGATATTTATAATTCTTTAAAAATTAATTGTTTTCAAGATTTCCAGAAAAAAAACCCGTAATAAAAAATTTGAAAAATTGAATTAAATTTGAATAAATTCGTTTAAATAGAAATTTTATTGAATCAGATTTTTTTTAATTAAAAATTTGTTTAAAAAAATTGATCATAAAAAATTAAATATGGCAAAAATTCTACCAAATCTTTTGTAACTTTACAAACAATTTTTCTGAGAAAGGAATTTTTTTAATGTTAGAAAGGAACAAATAAAATTTGTCAAAGAATTTTATTTGAAGATATAAAATGTTTTAATTTGCAAAAATTAAAAATTATAAAGAGAATTTAAAATTTGCATGTTTATTAAAAAATTGTGAATACTAAAATTTTTGTTTCTCTTTCAGTGTAGTTTTCCCAAAAAAAGAACTAAATAATCAAGAAGTAACGGCCGCTTAATTTATTGGGAAAATAGAAAAACGAGAAAATGGACGACGAGGAAGGCTCATCGAGTTCAGGACCAATGTCCTCATTGAATAGTTTATTTTCCTTCACAAGTCCAGCGGTGAAGAAGCTCCTCGGTTGGAAGCAAGGCGACGAGGAGGAGAAATGGGCCGAGAAGGCTGTCGATTCCCTCGTGAAGAAATTAAAGAAACGAAAGGGTGCAATCGAGGAGCTCGAACGAGCATTAAGTTGTCCCGGTACACCGAGTAAGTGTGTGACAATACCGCGTAGTTTAGACGGACGTTTACAAGTATCACATCGCAAGGGTTTACCGCACGTGATTTATTGTCGCGTATGGCGATGGCCCGACCTGCAATCGCATCACGAACTCAAACCACTGGAACTCTGTCAATATCCATTCTCAGCGAAACAAAAGGAAGTTTGCATCAATCCCTATCATTATAAGCGTGTCGAGAGTCCAGTATTGCCGCCCGTTCTCGTGCCAAGACACTCGGAATTCGCTCCCGGTCATTCACTTCTACCATTTCAACAACTTCCCGAGCCAACAATGCCGCACAATGTCACATACTCGACAAGCGGTTTCAACGCGGGGAACACAAACGTAAATCCAACGTCGCCAATATCCTCGGTGAGTTCAGTGCCGAGTCCTGCGAGTTCAGGAAATCCTCAGAGTCCCTACGGGACGAATGGTTTGCCGGAAACGCCACCGCCAGCGTATTCCCCACCCGAGGACGGTTCACAGCATGGACAATCGCCGCCACCCGATCCGGCGGCAATGGACACTGGGAGTTCGCCTGCAGTCGCTCCCGTTTGCTATCAGGAGCAACCCTATTGGGCGTCAATTGCATATTATGAATTAAATTGTCGTGTTGGTGAAATATTTCATTGTCAGAGTCATTCGGTGATTGTCGATGGTTTCACTAATCCGAGTAATAATTCTGATCGTTTTTGCCTCGGGCAATTGTCAAATGTGAATAGAAATTCGACAATTGAAAATACGAGGCGACACATTGGCAAGGGGGTGCATTTATATTATGTTGGCGGTGAAGTTTATGCCGAGTGCCTATCTGATTCGGCGATTTTTGTACAGTCGAGAAATTGCAATCATTTCCATGGATTTCATCCTAGTACGGTGTGTAAAATTCCACCGGGATGCTCACTCAAGATATTCAATAATCAGGAATTTGCATCACTCTTGTCCCAGAGTGTTAATCATGGATTTGAAGCTGTTTATGAATTGACGAAAATGTGTACAATTAGGTAACTAGAAATCTTTTTTTTTTATAAGATAATTATATTTAATTTAATAATATATAAATCAAAGTTATATAATAGAGAATTAAATTATATAATTTTTATTTATTCTATCGCTTGGTATTGTTAATAATAATTAAGAAAATGTTGAAATGAACGATCACTCAGAGTGATCGTTCATTTCAATATTTTCTTAGAAAAATTTATGTTCTAATTTTTTTTTTAATTTCGGAATCTACTTTTCCTATTTTGTAAATTTTCCAAAAATTTTTATTTTGAAGTTTAGTTTCTACAAGTATACAAGTATAAAATATTCTTTCAATTTAAAGAATATTATTAAATGTAAAATGTAATTTAATTACATTTTAACAAATTTAAAACTTAATTCAAATTTATCTTAAAAAATTTAATTTCATTTTGAAGAATTTAAATTTAATTCTTTATTCATCCGTATTTTATTTGACAGACTTGAAGTTTAATTTTCTTTTCGTAAATAAAATACAAATTTTCTTAATAATTTGAATAAATTATAATAAATTTAAATTAAATTTAAGAAATTAAATTCAATTTCAATTCAAATTTCAATTCAATTTAAGTTCAAATTCAATTTCAAAAATTTTAAATATAATTTAATTTAATTTAAATTTAACAAATTTAAATTCCATTTAAACTAAATTCAAACTCAATTTTAATTAAATATAGCAAATAATTTAAATTTAAATCCAATTCAACAAATTTAAATTCATAAAAAATGATTTTGAATTAAATTGAACTTATTAAAATTCAATTCAAATTTAACTAAATTCAACGATTTCGAATTAAATTTAAGAAATGTAAATTTAAATTCATATAAAATATTTAAATTAAATTGAACGAATTTAAATTCAATTCAGAAAATTTAAATTCATCCATATTTTATTCGACAGACTTGAAGTTTCATTTTCTTTTCGAAAATGAAATACAAATTTGCTTAATAAATTGAATCAAATATTAATTAATTTAAATTAAATTTAAGAAATTAAAATTTCAATTCAAATTGAAATTCAATTTAAGTTCAAATTAAATTTCAATTCAATTTTAAAAATTTTAATTAAAATTCTATTTAACCTGAATTTAACAAATTCAATTTAATTTAAATTTAGCAAATAATTTAAATTTAAATCAAATTCAATAAATTTAAATTCATAAAAAATGATTTTAAATTAAATTGAACTTATTCAAATTCAATTTTAACTAAATTCAACGAATTCGAATTAAATTAAATTTAGCAAATAATTTAAATTTAAATTCCATATAAAAAATTTTAATTAAATTTATATTCAATTCAAATTAAATATCAATTCAGAAAATTTTAATTCCACCGTATTTTATTTGACAGACTTGAAGTTTCATTTTCTTTTCGAAAATGTAATACAAATTTTCTTAAAAATTTGAATCAAATTTAAGAAATTAAATTCAAATTCAATTTAATTTAAAAAAAAACAAAAATTTTTTAAACAAATTCAATTTAAACTAAATTTAACAAATTCGATTTCGATTTGATTTCAATTTAGCAACTTTGATTTTAAATTCAATTAAATTTTTTAAAAAAATAAATTAAAATTAAATTGAACGAATAAAAATTCAATTCAAAGTCAGTTTTAACTAAATTCAACGAATTTGAATTCAATTTAAAATAAATTTAAAATAATTAAACTTAAATTCGTATAGGAAATTTAAATTAAATTGAACGAATTCAAATTCAATTCAAATTCAATTTAACGAATTTAAATTCATTTTGAGAATTTAAATTCAATTTGAGAATTTAAATTCAATTTGAGAATTTAAATTCAATTTGAGAATTTAAATTCAATTTAACAAATTTAAATTCAATTCAATTTACAAAATTTTAATTCATACAAACTAAATTTAAATTAAAAGTGAACGAATTCAAATTCCATTTTAACTAAATTCAACGAATACGAATTCAATTTAAATTAACACTTGAGAAGTTTTAATTGAATTTAACGAATTGAATTTGAATTTGAGAATTTAAATTCAAAATTTAACAAAAAATCAAATTCAATTTAAAAAATTTAAATTAACTTCAACAAATTTAAATTAAATTGAACAAACTAAAAATCGTTAAAAAATTTTTTGTTTCAATGTTTATCGAGGACAATTTTCAATTAATTTACATTTCACAAAATTTTAATTCAAATTAATTAAAACTTTCATCGATTAAAATCTCAGTTGACTCTGAATTAATTAATTTAATTAGAAATTAATCAGAAACTTGTGAGAAACATGTAGTGAAAATTTTGTTAAATGAAAAAAGTTATTAAATTAGGAAAAAATTCAATTAAATAAAAATTTCATAGATTGAAAATTGGGTTAATTAAAAATTACAAAAAAAAATTTGGTGAATACTTTGAATAAAAAATTCATTAATGTAAAAAAATGTGTTTAAAAATTCCAATGAAAAATTTCTTTTAAAGTAAAAAAATTATTAAATCGAATAAATTTCGGTGAAATAGAAATTCTATTGAATAAAAAATCTTTTAATTAGAAAATAATATTTCTTTAAAAATTGCAATGGAAAATTCGTTTTGAAGTAAAAAAAAATCTATTAAATCGTAAAAAGTTCTGTGAAATAAAAATTTTTATCGAATAAAAATTCTTTCAATTGGAAAATAATATTTCTTCAAAAATTGCAATTCGTTTTGAAGTAAAAAAAAATCTATTGAATCGAAAAAAATTCTGTGAAATAGAAAATTGAATGAAAATTCTTTTATTTAAAAATTGATTAGATGTTGAAAATTTTTCACCGAAAATAATTAATTAAATTTAAAAAAAATATAGTAATTTAAAATTTTCCCTAAATTCTTTTTCAAAAATTTACAGAATGTCATTTGTGAAAGGCTGGGGTGCTGAATATCATCGACAGGACGTAACATCAACTCCCTGTTGGATTGAGGCCCACTTGCATGGACCATTGCAATGGTTGGACAAAGTTCTCACCCAAATGGGATCACCTCACAACGCCATAAGTTCCATGTCGTAAGGATATAATTTTCAGAGGACAATATAAACGTGAGAAAAAATAAAAATTCATTTTCATTAAATTTCTTTTTTCTAAAATCAAAAAAAAAAATCGAGATTTGCTTTTCTTTTCCAAAAAAAATGACAAAAGAAGAAATTAATAATAGAAGTTTAGAAAATGAAAAAGTAAATCTCGATTATTAAATAAATAAAAAAATTAAATAATTAATAAAAGAAAGAATTTAATAATGTAAAACCAAAATCATTAAGAGCGATTATTTTGCCTCAAAATACAAAAAAAAATTGTATAGGTATAGATTTATTCTATACGTTCCATAAAAAAAATGTGTAAACGAGTATTGACGAAATTTTTTTTTTTTAAACAAAAAATTAGTTATAATTCTTCTCAAAAAAAAAATGTACAACATGACAAAGTACATTTATATATTATATATATATATTATATAAAAATTTATAGTGATGTTTTTAAATGTCTCATTAGCTAAATAAATCAAAAAAAAAAACAAACTTCGATGAAAGACATAGAAGTTATATAAATATATATATATATAAAAAAATTAAACTAGCGATTAGAATAATTTACTATATATAGTAGATAGGAATAGAAAGAAAATTCAGTAAAAAAATTGGCCACAATTTAAAAAAAATATATTTTTTCTTTATTAAAATTTAAAAAAAAAAAATAGTTAATTACTCCGATAGAAACGAGTTTTTGCTCATACGATGCATATTTCGATATAAAAAAAAATCGAAGCTAAAAGATAAAAAAGTACAATTGTGATTTCTCTTGATTCTTATTTTGCCTAAAAAATTTTGCATTTTTTCATTAAAATGTACAAAAAAAATATTCAGTGGATAAAACTGCTTTCCTTCACGTTGGCCAAAAGTTAGAAAAAAATAGCCTTTTTTTTGGTATGTAGAAAAAAAGCCTTAATTAGAGGCTTTGAGAATTGCCTATTAAATAATTTGTAAATGTTTTACAAAACAAAAAAAGTTTTAGCTATTTATCGTGAAAATATTTTATGAAGATGAAACTATTTTATTCTATTGTACTATAATAAATAAAATATACATAAATTGTATATTATTGAAGATTAATCTCTGAAAAAAAGTGTAAACGCCAACTTTTCAAAGTTGATCTCATGATTATTGTAATAGTGCCTATTATGTAAGACTAAAATATATTCTAAAAAGAGAAATAATTCAAAAGAAAAATGATGATAATTCATCGTTTTGTTTTTTTTTTCAAATCAATTATATTGAAAAGGAAAATTTTGTTTTTGCGATTTAATACAGTAAACATTGTCAAGGGAACTTTTACATTATTTCTTACAATAATATACACATAGGAAAAATTTTAATTGAGGCTGACAAAACGACGAAACTGTGATGGAAAGTTTTATATTATAAAATGCACAATTTTTTAATTTCTGTTTATTATTGCAAATAAGGACTTCTTTTTTTTGTCCGTATTTTGAATTTTTTTTTTTTTGTTTTTGAATAAATGAAATACAATTTTCTTAACAATTTAAAGTAAAATTTATAAATATTTAAATTCAATTAGACAAAATTTATGTTGGAATTAAAAAAATCAAATTCCATTGAAATTCAATTTCAATTAGAAATAAAATAATATAAATTATTCAATTTAAATTCAATTCAACAAGATTAAATTCAATTCACAATCAGAAATGCAATTTGACAAATTTAATTTTAATTTCGAAAATTTAAAATCAATTTAACAAATTTGAATTCATATAAAAAAATTTTGATTAAATTGAATGAAAATTGAAATTGAAATTGATTAAATTCAATTAACATTAAATCTAACAAACTTAAAATCAATTTAAATTTAATTTAAATGTTAATTTATTTGAATTTCATTTTGTTAAAGTTAATTTAAATTGAATTTGAATTGAATTCAAATTTTGTAACATTTATTTTTAATTAAATTGAATTTTACTTAAATTTAAATTTGTTGAATTAAATTCAAATTGAATTTAAATTAAAATTAAACTCGTTCAATTTATTTTTAATTTTTTTACGAATTAAAATTTGTTAAAGTGAATTCCAATTTGTTTGATTAAAATTATGTTGAATTTGAATTGAATTTGAATTTGTTAAATTTAATTTAAAAATTTGAATTGAATTCAAATTTTTCAAATTGAAGTTAAATATTAAATTCAAATTGAATACAAGTTTTTTAAATTGAATTAAAATATTTTTAATTGAATTTAAATTGAATTTAAATTGAATTTAAATTGAATTTAAATTGAATTTAAATTAAATTTAAATATTTTAAATGAAGTTAAATTGAATTGAATGAAAATATATTAAATTTAATTTAAATTGAATTCAAATTTTTTTAATTGATTTACAAAATTTTAAATTGAAGTTAAATTGAATTCAAATTTTTTAAATTGAATTTAAATTTTATAAATTGAATGAAATTTTACAAATTAAATTAAATTGAATGAAATTTTTTAAATTTGAAGTTAAATAGAATTTAAGTTGAATTTAAAATGAATTTAAATTGAATTCAAAATTTTTAAATTGAATTACAATTTTTTAAATTGAGTTTCAATTTTTTAAATTGAATTAAAATATTTCAAATTGATTTAAAATATTTTTAATTGAAGTTAAATTGAATTTAAATTTTATAAATTTGAATTCCCGTTTATATACTAAATAAATTAAATTAAATTTTACAAATTGAATTAAATTGAATTAAATTTTTCAAAATTGAAGTTAAATTGAATTTAAATTGAATTAAAATTTTTAAAAACTGAATAAAAATATTTTTAATTGAAGTTAAATTGAATTCAATTTAAAAATTTCAATTCGTGTAAAAAATTTAATTTCGATTGAAAAGACTTTAATTCGTAAAAAAATTTTTTTGAAATTAAATTGAACAAAATTGGTAATTGTTAAGAAATTGTATTTTTAGAATTCAGATTTTCGTTTTCATTTTTCAATAATAAAAGGCACTACTTTTAATTGCATTATTTTTTTTAAAGAGGCCTTTTGCGACAATACAAATATTATATTGACTCGTATGAAAGTAAAGCCGGTTTCCGGCCAGGAATAATTAAAAAAAAAAGCTAGCAATTTTTTGTTTTTTAAGAAAAGGGAACAAAATGCAACAGGTGATAATATATAGTAATTTTTTGAATAGCGTTTCTTTGAATTGACTTGAATTTATTTCTTATACGATTTAGAATGAAAGATAAACGAAACTTTCCACATTTTTCATTAAAAGAAATAAAAAAAAATGTTTCTTTTTGGATTTATATAGATCTGTTTATTTCATTTTAATAAGCACTTTAATAAGATTTTCAAGACGAGAGAAAACAAAAAAAAAGGAGAGAGAAAAAATTATGAGTGAAAATTTCCATTCCGAATTTCCATTTGTTTTTTTTTTTTTTTGTATACTAAGAGAAAAAATCACTGCCTTTTGTCAATTAAATTTTTTTTTCAAAGCGAGAGACTGGTTTTTGACTTTGTTTTTTGCGTTCAATTGTAGAATATTCGTTTGAGAATTTTTTTCCCCTTTTGAGAATTTAAATAGTTTTGGAAAAATTGACAAAGTTTGAATTTTTGTAAAGAAGATTTTTTAATGATTGTTTCGATTGGAAATAATTTCCGTTTTTCTAATCGGTTTTCCGTTTAATTTGAAAATTAGGAAAATAATAAAAATACAAAAAATAAAAATAATAAAAATGCAAATAGTAAAAATTCGAATAATAAAAATAAAAATAGTCAAAATCAAAATAACGAAGAAGAAAATAATAAAAATTTCTTTATAGTGAAAATAAAAAAGTAATTATTTTAAAGAAAGAAATAAAAATTGAAAAATTGGAAATTTAGATTTATATTTTATTTTTCATCTTGTACAAAAATTTCCAATATATAAAAATTAATATCAAATTTCACCATTTGAATTTCACTAGATACGATTGAAAGTCAATGATTAAAGTGCTTATTATTATTGCAATTTTCGTAGATAATCACTCGATTAGAGAAAAAAGAATTCTTTAACGATAATTAACTAGAGAGATTAGCAAAGAAAAAAATAATAATATTAATAATATTAAGGAAAAAAAAGTAATTTTAATGTGTGTACAGTAGTTAATAAGAAAAAAAAATTAGGGTTACCGCAGAAACGTGCTATTTTGTGAAAGTAATAACGCTTTCTTTATGGCGTAAAATTATAAATGTGAGAGAAAAAGAGAGAAAGAGAGAGAGAGAGAAAGAAAAAGAGAGAGAGGAAAAAAAGAACACAATTTCGACGCTTTTTTCGTGAATTTTCCATAATAATTATTATAATACACAATTCATGTGAGACACAATATAATTACACTAATTGTAATTTGCTTTTTTTATTATATACTTGTCGCATTGCGCAACTCAGCACAACAATTATCTGAATATTAATTTTTAAGTAACAAAAAAAAAATAAAACTAAACCATTTTTTTTGAAAATAAGGTTTAGAAATGCACACGCCATAGTAATATTGTAAAAAAAATCGTAAAATTACGATGTTTTAATGGTTAATTAATTAATGAATTCAATATTATTTAGTTGATTAATTTAATTAATTAGAGAAATATCTAATTCAATATTATTTAATTAAATTAAATAAATAATTGTTAACTTCAATATTATTCAATTAATTAATTAATTCAATAGTATTTAGTTAATTAATTAAATTAATTAAATAAATAATTAATTACTTGAATATTATTCAATTAATTAATTTAATGGATTAAATAATTAATTACTTGAATATTATTCAATTGATTAATTTAATGGATTAAATAATTAATTACTTGAATATTATTTATTTAATTAATTTAATGGATTAAATAATTAATTACTTGAATATTATTCAATTAATTAATTCAATGGATTAAATAATTAATTACTTGAATATTATTCAATTAATTAATTTAATAGATTAAATAATTAATTACTTGAATATTATTCAATTGATTAATTTAATGAATTAAATTATTAATTACCTGAATATTATTCTATTAATTAAATTGATTAGGTGATTAATTAGTTCAATATCATTCTATTAATTACTTAAAGTAATTAATTTAATTAAAAGAATAATTAAAAATAATATATTGAATGAATTAATTAATAGAATAATATTGAACTAATTAATTACTCAATAAATTAAATTAAAATAATTGAATAATATGGAAGTAATTAATTATTTAATCAATCTGTTAATTTAATATTTATATCAACATTTCAAAAGATTTTTAGCATTTTTTAAAATTTAGTTCGAGGAAAAAAAAATTCGAAATTATTCCAAATTTTAAAAAAGTCGAAAATTAGATATTATTCTTCTTTTTTTGAATTTGAATTTATCGGAAGAATTTTTTTGTTCTGATTCAATTTTAAGAAGAGAAAAATTAAAAAGTCAGATTTACTGAATTGTTTTGTTTATGTGAATTTTTTTTTTTTTTTGAAAGCAAAGGGAATCAAACGATTGACGTAGAATTGAAAAAAAAGAATGGAATTTTGATTTTAATTAGTGAATAGAACAAAAAAAATTGTGTAATTAAAAACGATAATAATTATAAATAATTTTGACAATGTTTTTTTTTTAAGTGACGATTGACAAAATTTTTTAAAAGAAATTTCTAAAATGACTTTTAATTTAAATTAAAATTAAATTGAAGTTGAATTGAATTTAAATTTTTTAAATTGAATTAAATTAAATGAAACTATTTCAAATTGAATTCAAATTTTTAAATTGAATGAAAATATTTTAAATTGAATTTAAATTAAATTCAAATTTTTTAAATTGAATTTAAATTGATTTCAAATGTTTCAAATTTAATTAAATTGAATGAAAATATTTAAATTGAAGTTAAATTGAATTTAAATTAAATTCTAATATTTAAAATTAAAGTTAAATTGAATTTAAATTAATTTCAAATTTTTTAAATTGAATTCAAATTTTTTAAATTGAATGAAAATATTTTAATTCAAAGTTAAATTGAATAAAAATAAAGGAAAAATGAATACAATGAAATTTGTATAATTTTAAATTTCTATTTTTTAAATGAAAAATTAAAAAAAAAAATATTCTAGAATTATTGATAATTTTTAGTCTGAAATAATTTTTTTCTTTCAAATTCCATTTTTTGTAATCATCTTTTTTACGTCTTGACATTTGATTGTTGATATTTTATGTATTTAAATAATTGTAAAACAAATTTTTATAGTAAGCCAAAAACGTGAAAGTGATATTATTGCTAATTTAATTCCTTTTCTTTTCAATTTTTTTTCAATTCTCTTTTTACTTTTATTCTCGCGTATCGTGTGCTTCCAAATTTATTTTTCGCTTTATTAAAAAAAAAAAATATATATTTTTTCAAAAAGTAAAAAAAAAATTTTAATTAATTTACATATTTTAAAAATTAATTTTTTAAACTAATTCATATGATTATTTTTCCCATTCTGAAAAATAAAAAATGAATTCTTAAGACAATTAATAATTAAGAGTTTAAAATAATAGATTTATTTTTAGAAAATATTTTTTTTTTATATTCATTTCTTTTTAAATGTGTATATATATTATATTTTTTGTAGTTAAAATTTTGTTATTATATAAATACTTTTTTGGATAAACATTTTTTTATAAATATTTTTTTTTATTTTTTTTTATTTTTGAAATGTTTTTATAAATATTTTTCTGGACTAATTTTTTTTGATAATTCTTTTGGATTAAATTGTTGAATTTTTTTTATATTAAATATTTTTCTGGACTAAAATTTTTTACAAAATATTCTTTTAAATTTAATTGTTGAAATAATTTTTTTATATAAATATTTCTTTTGAATTAAAATCTTTTTATAAATAGTTTTTTTGGACTCAATTTTTTTTACGAAATTATCTGTTGGATTAAATTGATTAAATTGCTTTTAAACTTTTTTTTTTGAAAACTATTTTTAATAATTCTTTTTGAATAACTATTTTTGAATAATTTTAATCATTTTTGAAAACTTTTCCTAATACTTTTTTTGAAAACTTTTGGAATTTTTTTTTTTAAATGTTTCTTTAGGAAAAAATTTTTTTTTAAAGGTAACAATCGGTATGATATAATTAGAAATAAAATAAATTGATATTTTTCAATGGCTGCAATTTTTTTTTGATAATAAATAGTATCGTGATTGTCCTCTTTTTCTAAAAATATCAGAGAATGTAAAGTTAAATAATTTTTAAATATCCAATAGTGTATAGTGATAAACTGTAAAATAAAATCACTATTGTTGTTCATTCAACATAATAGAATTACCGTCGGTAGCTTTAGCTCGTTAAAAAAAAGAAGAAAAAAAATTATCCGCTTTACTTAAATTTTTCTGGTATCCATTATATTGTTACACAAATACCAAGTATGAATATGGTGAATATTACCTCTGTATGTACGTGCAATGCATAAACTGTAGTTTTTATTTACCGACACAAATATTGTTCCTATCCTTTTAAATAATTAATATTTATTATTACTATTTATTATTTACTATTACTATGTATTCATTTATTGCAAAATATTAATATCAGTAACAGCGAATATTGATAATTTTTTTTTTTGAGAATTTTTTTCACCTAAAATTATTATTATTAATTAATAATAATTACATTAAATAATAATTTTATTATTTTAATTTTATTTTTTAATTTTTAATATTTATTAAATATTAAATATTAAATTTTAAAAATTAAAAAAAGCTTATCAGCTTTTTACTCAAAAATAATTAAAATAATAAACGTTCACTAACTTCAAGAATATAAATAATTTTAATAATTATAATTATAATTGTTAAGTTTATTTTATATTAATATTATTGTAGTAAATATTCTAGTAAGAATAATAATAATATTGTAGTAAATTATTATTATTATTTTGTTTATTTATAATAAATAGTAATAAAATATTAATTACTAGAGTTATTAATATAATTAATTATTTTTTGATTTTTCATTTAGTTTAGTATTAAATTATGAATATTATTAATATTAAAATATTAATATTATATTATAAATATTATAAATATAATTATTATAATTAACTATTTTGTTGATATTTTTCATTAATATTTTTGATTTTTGGTTTATAGTATATGAAGTTATTGAAGAACAGAAAAAGTGAATTATTTTCTGAAGAGGAGAAAAATTTTCCAATTCCAAATTATTTTTTTTGGTGAATCAACGGCCGGCAAAGTGTACAACAATAGATTCGAAAAAAAATTTCCTTCTGCATCAAGAATGTAAGTATGCTTAATTAATATTAATTTAATTAATTTCTCCTTTATCCCGATAAATGAATAATTTTTTTCCCTGATAAATTTTTTAGTAAGAAAAAAAAAGACTTGACTTTATAATATTTAAATTGTGCAATTTCAATATTTTATTGAATTGCAATAAACAATTTTTTCCCTACAATTATTATTTAAAAAAAAATTGTAAAAAAATATTTTTTTGCAACTGATAAAAATAATTATGCGATTTTTTTATTTATTAAATATTGAAATTTATATATTTCATTAAATTGCAATAAACAATTTTTTCCCTACAATTATTATTTAAAAAAAATTGTAAAAAAATATTTTTTTATAATATTTATTATTTATAATAAATTTTAATAAATTATAATTATTATCATAATTTAAAATAAATTTGTTATTTATAATATTGTTAAGAATAATTATGCAACTTTCTTCTGCTAAAATTCAATTATTTTCAAAAATAAAAAATTTTGTTAAAAATATTATTGTTAATTAACAATTTTAGTTAAAAATGATTAAATTTTTTTCAATTTTAATTCAAATTATATAAAAATAATTGAATTCAGAGAAAAAAATCATTTTTTGTAATTTTTAGATAATTGAATTCTTGCGATAAATTTTATTAAAATTTTTGAAAATAATTGAATTCTTTTAAAGAATTTTATAGAAATTTGGAAAATAATTGAAATCTATCGGAGAATTTATAAGAAATCAATTATTTTTCAAAAATAATAAATTTAATTAACTTGATGGTTAAATAACAATTTTAATTAACAATCAATATGAATTTCTTTCAAATTCAAATTGAAATTTTATTAAAAATAATTGAATTCTTCGAAATTTTTTTAAATAATTGAATTCTAGCGAAGAATTGAATTAAAAATTTTGAAAATAATTGAATTTTTAAAGAGAATTGAAATATATCTCCAGGAATTTATACAAATTCAATTATTTTCCAAAATTAAAAAAAAATTCTTTTCTAATGGAATTCAATTATTTACAAATATAAAAAATTTTGTTAAAAATATTATTATTAATTCAAAATAATTTTAGTTAACAATGATTAAATTTTTTTCAACCTTCATACAAATGATATAAAAATAATTGAATAGAAAAATAAATTTTTTTTTTGTAATTTTTAAATAATTGAATTCTTGCGATAAGTTGTAATTAAAAATTTTTAAAATAATTGAATTCTTTTAAAGAATTTTCTAGAAATTTTGAAAATAATTGAAATCTTTTGGAAAATTGATAAGAATTCAATTATTTTTCAAAAATTTTAATAAAATCCTTTACTAATGGAATTCAATTATTTTTCAAAAACTTTAATAAAATTCTTTGCTAATTGCAATTCAATTATTTTCAAAAATAATAAATTTAGTTAAAATTGATTGTTAAATAACAATTTTAATTAACAATTAGTGAAAATTTTTTTTAATTTCAATTTAAATTATATTAAAAATAATTGAATTCTAGCGAAGAATTTTAATAAAAATTTTAAAAATAATTGAATTCTTGAAATGAAGCTAAATAATTAAATATTTAATAATAATTATTTATTATTATTTTATTATAATTAATGAATTTGTTTGATTTATTATTATTATTATTGAAATAAAAAATGTTTAAATTATTATTTATTTATTGATTTATTTAATTTTATTGATTAATTTCTCTACTTTTTGTTAAATAAATATAATAAATGAATAAATAAATAAATAAATAATTCAATGAATAATATTAATTTAAATCGAATATTCATTATCATTATAATTTTTGCATTATTATTCTACGGAAATAAATTCTATTTTTCTATCTATATATTGAAAAAAAACAATAAGTGAATATTTGTGAAAAATTAATTCTCAAATTTTATTTTTGTTTATGTTTATAGCCTCTTCAAGAAATTGTTAGCAAATAGCGTCATTCGGTTCCCGTCTCACAATACAATCAGTTCCTTTTGAAATTATAATCCGTTAATAATGACGGATTCAAATAGTGTTGAACTAATGAGGATGAATTTCTTATAATTTATACAATTTTAAAAGTTTTTCTTTAATTTTTACTCAATTTAAAAATTTTCAAACCAAAAAAAAAAAAATTTTAATTAGTACATAATACATAGAATGATATTAATAGTGAAAGTTTAAAAAAAAAAATTGTGTGTGAGAGGCGCAAGTGCAAGATGGAATTTTTCAATATCAACAATTCACGTTTTGCGGTGAGTATTATAAACAATTTTATATTTATTTAAAAAAAAGATTTTTTTAACTGAAAAAAAAATGAAAAATAAAAATAAAAGAAATATATATATTTTTTATATATTTTTCTTTTATTTGTTAGTTAATTTTTAATGTCCGAGATTTTTTTTTTGGGATTTTTTTTCATTTAAAGTGCGTGTTGAATAATTTTTTGTCGTCGTCAGAAACCCTTTGAAAATTGTGTATTATAGAAAATGACGAAGGGAGAGTAAATGACATTTCCGGGTTTACACTGGTGAATTGAGTTTCCAGTCCATGGGAAATTGCTTTTTCTTTTTTTTTCCTCTTCCTTAACGTCTGGGTTTGTTATATACACACATTTTGATGTCTCTGATGAAGAGACATTTGAAAGTTGTTGACCTTTTAATTAATGTTGTCTTCTTATTTTGTCTTCGTTTGAAAAATATATAAATATCGTCTCATAATAATTTAAATAATAATAACAATAATAAAAATTTCAATTTTATTATTATTATTATTATTATTATTATTATTATTATTATATTTGTTATTATTATTATTATTATTATTATTATTATTATTATTATTATTATTATTATTATTATTACTATTATTATATTTGTTATATGATGTATAATAATTATTCTGGTTTATTATTTTTAAAGAATTTTAAAACAATTTCACGAAAAAATTCAATTATTATTCATAGGAAGAATTATTTTTTTAATTATTGAATAATTGAATTCTTGTAATGAATTTTATTAAAATTTTTCAAAATAATTGAATTCTTTTAAAGAATTTTATAGAAAACTTTTAAAAAGAATTGAAATCTATCGTAGAATTTGAAGATTTAAATTATTTTATAAAGAATTGAATTCAATAATTTTTTAAAGTTTTAATAAAATTCTTTGCAAATGGAACTTAATTGTCTTCAAAAATAATAAATTTGGATATTGATATTATTGTTAAATACAATGTTAGTTAACAATAATTGAATTTTTTTTCAAATTCAATTCTAATTTATTGTATTAAAAATAATTGAATTGTAAGAAAATTTTTGAAAATATTTGAATTCTTTTAAAAATTTTATAGAAATTTTTAAAGAAATTTTTTAAAGAGAATTGAAAACTATAGAGGAATTTATAAGAATTAAATTATTTTTTAAAGAATTGAATTGAATAATTTTTTGATAATTTTAGTTTTAATAAAATTCTTTGCACATGCGGAATTCAATTATCTTCAAAATTAATGAATTCAGATAATGATATTATTGTTAAATAACAATTTTAGTTAACAATAATTGAATTTTTTTCCAATTCAATTATAATTATATTAAAAATAATTGAATTCTAAGAAATTTTTTGAAAATAATGGAATTGTTTTAAAGAAATTTATAGAAATTTTTATAAAAGAATTGAAATCTATCGGAGAATTTATAAGAATTCAATTATTTTCTAAAAGTTTTAATAAAATTCTTCGTTGGAATTAAATTGTTTTTATTACAATTGAAATTAAATTCTATTTGAAAGAATTCAATTATTTTTTAAAAATTTTATTAAAATTCTTTGCTAACAGGAATTCAATTATTTTCAAAAATGATAAATTTAGTTAATAATATTATTGTTAATTAACAATTTTAGTTAACGATTAATTTTTTTTTTCAAATTCAATTGAAGTTTTATTGAAAATAATTTAAATCTTTAAAATTATTTTTAATAATTGAATTCTAGCGAAGAATTTTATTAAAAATTTTGAAAATAATTGAATTCTTAAAAATAATTTTATAGAAATTTTCAAAAAGAATTGAAATCTCTCCAGGAATTTAAAAGAATTCATTTCCAAAATTTTAATAAAATTCTCCGCGAGAATTATATAATAATAAATTTAATAAATAAATTTAATAATAAATTTACAATTTAAATGGATTTCTTTTTAAGGAATTCAATTCTTTTTCAAAAATTTTAATATAAAATTCTTTGTTAATAGAATTTAATTATTTTCAAAAATAATAATTTTAGTTAAAAATATTATTGTTAATTAACAATTAATCAAATGCAATTGAAATTTTTTTTCTAAAATTATTTTCATCTTCGGTATAAATTTTTTATAATTTTTGTGATTGTATAATTATTTTTTATTTTCAATTTTTTTTTGTCGCATTTTTGGTAGAATAATTCCATTTTTTTAAAATTACCATTTTTTTCAATTTTTATTTTTCAATTTTAAAAAAGAAAAATATACAGAAAAAAATGTATTCGATTCAAGTAACCGATTACTTGTCTATTATCAAATAAATATTTAAGTACTTGAATCAAATAATTATTATTTAATGATATAAACGATTTTATCACTCGGTTGTCAAATTAATTAAATGATTTGAATAAATAATAATATACATATATATTAAATATTTTTTACATGAAATAATAAATATTTGAATAAATAATTCCAGTGTTTGAGGCAAATATAAAGAGAACCATATTTGATTGACTCAAATAAAAATTATTTGATTGCAGTAAATATTTAATTGATAAGTGTTAAGTAATTGGTTATTTGAATCAAATAAATTTTTTTCCTTGTAAGTATGGATAAAAAATGGCAAATTATTCGATTCCAGTAAATATTTAATTGATAATAGTCAAATTTGTTATTTAAATTAAAATTAAAATTTTAAATTTGTTATTTGAATAAGATAAATTCTTTTTTTTAGTATAAGAGGGAAGAAAATGACAAAAAATGTAATTAAAAATGAAAATTCCTTTTAATTTCGCGCTAGAGTAACCGAGTAGTATTAACATTTTTCTTTTACTTTTCTTTTTTTTCTTTTTTCAATTTTTTTTTTTTTTCAATGGTGGTGCGTAGGTATCACTGAATTGAAAATTAAAAAAAAAAAAAAGAAAAAAAAAAATCGGACGCCCGGCATCGGCGGGTCCACGACGCCGACGCCGGAATCGTCAACTCCGCCCCCGCATTGGCCGGCGAAACAAAACTCGGATCAATACACCGCTCCCATTTACTGCGCGAAAGGCTTCCCTCAATAGTCAATTTCGCGTTTTCACATTATTATATTCGTCCCAAAACGAATGTCCAGTGTGTTTTGTGCGCTTTTTCCCTTTTTTTCCCCCCCATAAATGAATAAATTATAACGAAAACAAAAAAAAGTATTTTCAGTCAAAAATAATTTCATTTTCCAAAAATCAGTGAATTTTCTCCTTCAATTTTTCCAGAATGTTACATTACGAAGAAAATCAAAAACACTCGACAATTTTATGGATGATTGTCAACTGCCAGTAGAACCCACCCAATCAGAAATGGCTAAGGTAAGACACACATTTTTTTTATAATTTTCTTTTTTATTGATAAAAATAGGAAAAACATTTTATTTTTCGATTTATGGTTTTTTGAATTAATTGACATTTTTTGAAATAGTTTAATTATTTATTCTAGTGGATTTTTTATGTTTGGTTTGAAATATTTTTTTTTTTTGCCAAAGAAAGCAATTTTTTTGTTTGCAAAGTTTAATTATTGAAAAAAAAGTGCGAACGTCAAGGTAAAAATTTTTTTTTTATAAAGACATTGATAATCGTGTATATATGTTGCTTGAGGTTCGAGGTCGTTTAATGTTTATTTAATTTTTAATTGAATTTCTTATCCACTGGTAAATAAGTATAGAATGTGGACAAAAAAACGAGAATTATTTTTATTTTTCCCAATAAATATTTACTTGATTCAACTAAAAATTATTTTTTTCAAGTCAAATTCGATTTAACTAAAAATTATTTGATTCAAGTAAATATTTACATTATTCAAGTAAATATTTACTTAATAATGGTAAAGTAATCGTTTAATTGAATGAAAATAATTTTTAGTTGAATCAAATAAAATTTTTTTGAAGTAAATAAATTTTAGATGAATTCAAATAAATTTTAGTTGAACTAAATAAATTTTAGTTGAACCAAAATAAATTTTAGTTGAATCAAAATAAATTTTAGTTGAATCAAAATCAATTTTAATTGAACGAATATTATTAAAATTTACTTTACAAATAAAAATTATTTGATTCAAAGAAATATTTATTTACAAAAATAGTGAGATAATCGTTTAATTGAATCAAATAATTTTTAGTTGAATCAAATAAATTTGATTTGGACCAAAAATTTCAGTATTTTCAGAAAAATACAATTTAGTTGATTTTTAAATCAAAAATTAAAATTATTAAAATTTTTTTTGGTGGAAATAAATATTTACTTGATTCAACTAAAAATTATTTGATTCAAGAAAATATTTACTTGATTCGATTAAAAAATATTTGGTTCAAGTCAAAATTTATTCGATTCAATAACTACAAATTACTTGATTCAAGTAAATATTTACTTGATAATGGTAAAATAATAATCGTTTAATTAAATAAAATAATTTTTACTTGAACCAAATAAATTTTAGTTGAAATAAATAAATTTTAGTTGAACCAAATAAATTTTAGTTAAATCAAATAAATTTTATTTGAACCAATAATTTCAGTATATATTTCAAAAAAATATTATTTAATTGACTTAAATCAAAATTTTTTGGTAGAAATAAATATTTACTTAATTCAACTAAAAATTACTTGATTGAAGTGAATATTTACATTGATAACAATAAAGTAATCGTTTAATTAAATGAAAATGATTTTTAATTAAATGGAAATAATTTTTAATTGAACCAAATAAATTTTCTTTGAAACCATAAATATCAATATTTAATGCAAAATTACTATTTAATTGACTTAAAAACAAATTTTTTGGTAGAAATAAATGTTTACTTAATTCAAGTAAAAGTAATTTGATTCAAGTAAATATTTTCTTGATATTAGTAAAATAATCGTTTAATTAAATCAAATAATTTTTAGTTATGATTCAAATAAATTTGTTTTTGAACCAATAATTTCCGTATTTAAGGGCATTTGAACCTTGATGACGTTACACTTTGTGCAAAGCATGTGTGACGTCATCAAGGTTCAAATGCCCTTAAAATAAATAAAAAAATAAAGAAATAAATAAATGATTAAAAAAGTAAATAAAATAAAAAATAAGTTTAAATAAATAAATTAGTTAATTAATTAAGAAATAAGTTTCTATAAATAGACAAATTAAATAAATTGTCTTAAATTAAATTTATTTAGTTAAATTTAATTAAATAAATTAAATTAAATTTTTATTTGGATAAAAGAAAAATAATCATTTTTTTATCAAAAAATAAATTTTTTTTCCCTTGTAAATAATTTTTATTAGTTATTTTATTTATTTAATATTTAATTTCTTTAATTTGTTTAATTTGTTTAATTTGTTTAATTTATTTATTTTATTTAATTTATATAATTTATATAATTTACTTAATTTATTTAATTACTTAATTTTATTTACTTTTCTCGTATTTTCAATCTAATAAATTTGCTGAAACCGATTTTTTTTTAATTTCGTGACGAAACTTTTTATTCTTTATGAAAAGAGTATTAAAGTTCTTTTTTTTATTCAATTAAATTTGAAATATTTCTTCTGTATAGAAATGCTCTCTTTTTTTTTGTATTTATATACATTTACTTTATTTAAAATGTAAATTTACAATTTTAATATTTGAGTGTACATTAGAAAATTAGAAAACGACTGGAAAAGAAAGTCATCAAGAAATGAATATTTAGTAGAATTGAACTTCTTCAGAAAGTTTTTTTTTTCTTTTTTTTTTCTTTCAAATGTACAGTATTTTTCTTCTTTAATGATTTCCTACTCGCACGTTTTGTGCGCACAAATTAATTAATACCGTTGTTTCGTTTCATAAAAGATAAAATTCACACAATATAACTTATATTTGTCTTTAAAATATTTTGCAAATTTAATTATTTTAATTACTTTCACTATTATATTATTAGAATTATTATTTTTATTATTAAACCGTTAATAATAATAATAATAATAACAACAACAACAGCAATATTTATTAATATTTATTTTAATATTCTTAGTAATATTAATATTATTAATAAAATAATTAATATTAAATTGCCAACTGGAAATTTTGAGATTTGCCCAGAGGCCTTGAAAAATATTTATTAATATTCATAATAGAAAAACAATTTTATTAAAAAAAATTTTTAAATTATACTAAACATTTATTATTTTTGTTATAAATAATTTATTTATTTGAATTTAAAGCAATGAATTTTTTTTTTGAACAAATATTTTGAAAAACAAAAATTAGAAGAATATTTTTTGTTTCTAAAATAAATTATGAGTGCATTAAAAAAAAAAAAAAAAAAAAAAAAAACTAAAAATTGCAAAAGTAGAACCTATATAAATATTGTGCGAAGTGTCTATTATGTGCCAAGTGTAAATGTAGGACTTTTATTTTAAAATTCCATTTCCTATGATTTTCTCTCTTGTGGGAGCGGTGTTTGTGTGATGTCTAGGACAGTGGGACACACCTGCTCGGGACTCAGAGCAAGAGAGAGAAAAAAAAGAAAAAAAAGAAAAGAAATAAGGAAACAGAGATAATGTAAAATCGAAAAATAAACCATTACCTACATTCACACTGTTTGTTTTCACAAATAAACATATAAATATTTAACAAGAAGAATAAGTCGATCTTTTTTCTTTTTCTACTATATTTTCAATTTTTTATATCTTATTATCGTATTACAATTTATATTTTCCGAAAGAAGTGATTTTATAAATTTTTCTTTCCCGCCATATTGGATCCGCCATTTTGAATTTTAGGAAAATTAATTCAAATTTTCTATAAACGACCTCGAAAAAAACCCCAAGTATAGTATTAAAGCATTTTTCAAAATTTCCCGAATAAATTCAATTATTATTAAAAATTTTGATGAAATTCTTTGAATACATTCAATTATTTTCAAAAATGTAAAAATTCTTTACTATAAGAATATTCAATTATTTTCAATAATTGAATTCAATAAAATTTTAATAAAACCCCTAGAAAAAATTAAGAACTGAATGAATTCAATTATTTTCAAAAGATTTTGTCAAATTTTCTATAAAAGTTCAATTATTTCCAGTACAATTTTAATTAAATTCCTAGACAAAAGTAAATTATTTTTTATACAATTTTAATAAAATTGCTCGAAAGAATTCAATTACTTTCGAAAATTTCAGTAAAATTCTTAACAGAAAAACAATTATTTCCAAACATTTTAATAAATTTCTCAGCAATTCAATTAAAAAAAAAAAAAAAAAAAAAAAAAAAAAAAAAAAAAAAAAAAAAATCAGGGAATTCAGGGAAAAGTCAGGGATTTTTATTTAAGTAACTGGAAAAAATTGAATTTTTGAGAAGTTACAAATGATTGCAGAAATTCAATTATGTTCAAAAATAAAAAAAAATTTCATAAAAATTCAATTATCTTTAAAAATAATAAAATTCTTCTTCAAATTTCAATTATTTTCAAAAATTTTAATAAAATTCTTTGCAAAATTTCAATTATTTTCAAAAAATTTTTCTCAATTCAATGATTTTCAGTTGATTGCCCCACTATCTTAGAAAAAATTAATTTTGCAATTCCTATTAAATCACCACGTAGGCAAAATTTATTTAAACTCCATTACCATAGGACTGACTACGGAGATAATTCTATTTTTACCAGAATATGTAAGGAGGCTAACGAATGTAGTGATGAATTAGATATTTTTAATAACTCAATATTAATATTTAAGGCATCGTTACGTAAACTTATTCTCACATATGATTATGATGCTGCAGCCTAGCACTATTGTTGTTCTTATATTTCAATAATTACTAGTACATCTGTACGAAAGGGCATTTATTTTTTGTAAGCCCGTTTATTACTTAAATAAATAAATAAATTTTCAATATCTACAGTTTTAATAAAATTTTTCAAAAGAATTCAATTATTTAAAAAAAAAATTTTGATAAAATTCTAAGCAAACTTCACAATAATTCAATTATTTTCATAAATAATAACATTTTTTACAAAAATTCAATTATCTTCATAAATAATAACATTTTTTACAAAAATTCAATTATTTTCATAAATAATAAAATTCATCATAGAATTTCAATTATTTTTAATACAATTTTAATTGAATTCCTGGAAAAATTTAATTATTCTTGAAAATTTTATTAAAATTTCTCGAAAAATTCAAGTTTGTTGATAAAATTCTTTGTGATAATTTAGTTTCGAAAAACATTCATTTATTCAATAAATTATTTATTTTTGTATTTAAATAATTGAATTCTTGTAGAATTTTCCAATAAAAATTGATTTTCATTTCATGAAAATGAATTTCAGTTAAAATTTGAGATAATA